GTCCACTAAATGAACCAACACCCATTGATCGAGTTCTTGAAACGGGTGTCATGAACATCAACAAGACCACTCCAAGTTCCACGGTGTTCTCTCTAACCGCCACAGACCTCGGCGGTCTCTCTGCTTAAAGCCATCTTAAATCCACACGGAAAGACCCACCCACACCGGGACCAGTTTCCCTGGAGCACCCGAAGCCGTCGTTCCCAGGAGAACTCGTCTCGGATGCTTGATTGCATGGGGCCTCTTATCGGAAGGCCCTTCGTGGAGCATGTGGAGCGAGGGAGTTCTGAACCGGCGTTCCGGTTCCCACAGAAAGGCGATGTTTGTCACTCTATGCTGTCCTGATTTAACTTGCGTTACTACTCCATCCGCTCCCACTCAGTACCTTTCCGATTGGTACCGTCGCCGGGGGGCTGCAGCAGGCGCAGTCCGAGCGGTCCGATCGCCCGACGCTCGCTGGACGAAGCGATGAAGAAGGGATTGGTGTTTTTCATGGTACAACATTCCGTACACTGCACTACAGGTCGTTTTAAGAACCTCCTGTATTTAGTATTGGTACATTAGTATTGGTACTTTGATCCTTCGAATATTTCTGCCGGTTGCAGACTCTGTAACACCCAACAGGGCGTGGTGTTACAGGGTTCCTCCTGACCCGGGGGGCGACCCTGGGGTGGGACGGTGATCGCCCCAAGGTGTCCATGGACGTGAGCCAAGTTGCCAAAGACGTGCGCAAGCTGAAGAAGGCGCTGCCCCGGTCCGTGGGTCGCCCCGGCGCACGGTGCGACGTGGGAACGCGGCCCCCCCAAAGAACGGGGTGTGGAACGGGGAGTTTGATTGGGTGTCCATGGGGTGTGGGGATGGAAGTGAGGATTGGGAATGAACTACAAGGGTTTAAGACTTGACCTTGACTCTTGATGGGATCCGGCCTCTTCACTTTGATTAGACGGGATTCAATAGGATTCAGCTTCGCTCAGTCACCAACTGACCAGGCCGGTCATGGAGGTGAATTCACGGTTTGGTGGATCTTGGTGAGTTGATACTCAAATGTTGGTCATTTCTCCTCGTTTCAATGTCCATAAACCAACCCAACAAACCCAACACCTGGTGTTCTGGGCCCAGTGGCAGGTCGGGTCTTTCAGACCCCTTTTTTTGAAGCCACTGGAGCCATTGTTTGGAACGCCCGGAGTGCGTGCCCGGACTGTGTCCGGTTTCACCGTGGCGGAGGTCCTGCGCGAGATCGAGGCCTTGGAGGAAAGGTCCTCGGCAGGAGCCGATCGATGGGCTTGCAGCCACATGTTTTCTTGTTTTGGACCGGGAGACCCCTCAGTTTGACCTCGGGCAACATCAAAAACAGACTAAATCCAGGTTGGGGGGATCGGAGGTCCCTCTATATATTGAACAAAACTTACACAAACCCAAATGGGGGATCGGAGTGTGGGGGTGCGTCGTGCGGGGCATGGTTTTTTGGGTGACAAGCTGAAGAATTGGATGAGGCGATTTGGAGGGTCGGTTCATGACCACTTTGACCCAAGTGTAGGAGGTTGGTGGGAAGTGGTGTGTTGGGAGCAAGAATGATTTATGGGATGCTTTCAATAATGCTTTCGATCACCCCATGATTTCTGGATCCTGTTTCACGAGTGATGAATCAGAAAGAACATCGATTGTGAGTCGATGCCTCAACACCGACACCCAAACCGAGTGATGAGTGGCACGACAGAGCTCACCTCAACCGACCCAATTGACTAAATTTCGGATTGTGCTGATGACAGGGTGATCAAGACTCATGAATCTACAGGATAGATGTGGCCAGTCGAGTGGAACGAAACAATACTAAGTATTATATATATACACGATGAATATGCTTGAATTCTGTGACAGCTGGACGTTTTCATGGTTGCTTGAATATGGATTCTAAGGATTCATAGAATTCTTGACCACACAGGAAGCTGAGCTTACCGTGACAAGGAAAACTACTTTACGGTAAGTCCCGCATGTAAACCCTGTTTACGTTGACCGGAACCGTGCCTTTCATGTGTTTCGCTCGAACGTCACAGGACAGCAACTCTTAGACTGCCAGCTGCAAAAGCTGCAGCGCAAGGCTGAGGTCTTAGCCACGTGGCAGCAAGTGGCGCCCACTTCCGAGGTCTCGGTCTCAGCATTTTCTTGAAATCCCCATTGAGTCGACCTTTGTGGCACCGTCTTTGTGCATTTACGTAGTGTCCTGTGCATGAGGGCATGAGGGTGAGAGATTAATGTTCGATCCTGATTAGTAAATAGGCCCCCCCCCTACCTCAAACAAACAGGGGATCCTCTATAATAAACTACCACCAAAACAAATCTGGATTCCTGTGAGAATTCCTTTTTGTAATTGATTGTAGTATTCATTTTCCTTTCATAGATTGTATTCAGCTTCCTTTCTCAGGTGCTTTGTGATTGTTCTCAGCAATCCTTTTGCTTTGCAGCCTCAGATCTTCAGCTCAAGAGAAAGCTATATCAGGTAATGAGTCATAATCATTGGCCTCAGGAGCTAAGTAAAGGAAGATTCCATGAGCAGTTTTTTTTCCAGTGGAAAAACTTTTCACAATTGAGAACCCAAAAACAAGTCTATTATTGAGGATGAGATGCCTTCCTGGTCTACTATATACCTTGACAATTTGTTTAGGAGCAATGTTTTATAAAGGGTTTAATTAGGAATTGGTGGTTTTGGTCAGCTGTCAGTTTTGAAGAAACCTAGAGAAAGCTATATCAGCTAATGAATCATAATCATTGGCCTCAGGAGCTAAGTAAAGGAAGATTCCACGAGCAGTTTTTTTCCAGTGGAAAAACCTTTTCACAATTGAGAACCCAAAAACAAATCTATTATTGAGGATGAGGTGCCTTCCTGGTCTAGTACCTTGAAAATTTGTTTAGGAGCAATGTTTTATACAGGGTTTAATTAGGAATTGGTGGTTTTGTTCAGCTGTCAGTTTTGAAGAAACCTAGAGAAAGCTATATCAGCTAATGAATCATAATCATTGGCCTCAGGAGCTAAGTAAAGGAAGATTCCACGTGCAGTTTTTTTCTTCCACTGGAAAACTTTTCACAATTGAGAACCCAAAAACAAATCTATTATTGAGGATCAGCTTCCTGGTCTACTACCTTGAAAATTTGTTTAGGAGCAATGTTTTATAAATGGTTTAATTAGGAATTGGTGGTTTTGGTCAGCTGTCAGTTTTGAAGAAACTTGTCAGTTTTGAAGAAACCCTTATTAATTAGGTTTCCAATATAAACAATTTAGGGCTCCAAACAAATTTAGCATTATTCAGGTCCCATTTTTCAATCATGGGGTCTGGAATAATTTTGGAAACATTTAGCATTATTGAGGACCCATTTACTAATCAGCATCCAACATTAATGGTTTGAGGCACTTAAGGCTCCTCCAACTTCGCCATGTTTCAGAGCACTGTTGTCGATGGTTTGTGTAACATAGGCCTGGTGTTCATTGGCAGGTGTTTTCTTTCCTGCTGGAACCTAGGACATTGTGACCCAGCCTCACATGACGGGCTCATAGGCTTGATCCATCAGGTAATGTAGAATTCTTGATTGATCACCTCCCTCCCGGAGTCTCATGAATCAAGAGTGTACGTTAGTATCTCTACGTCCAGACCATCAAGGAGACTGGGCATCATCCTGTGATGCCGACCTCCTTTTTTGCCCTGTTCTGAGGGTCCCTCCCGGTGAGGAGTGAACACGTTTATATAGATTCCTCCATCGTTTGAAAGCACCAAACCTGTTTGACCACACCAAAAACCATTGCCATCTATGGCCTTGTTTTGCTAGTTATCCTGGCTTCACCAGATGCTTCTTTGATGTTCTTTGACTCCCAGAGTTCGTTTTGCTCATTTAAGGGGCTAGCTGGTTGGGCTTCGTTTGGAACGACGGTGGGAGCACGGTCCGTCCGCAGGAACGAACGGTCTGTTCCAGAGTCGGACGAACGGTGGGTATCGGACAGTCGGTAGTAGTCCTTCGAGTCGACCCGTTCGGTGGTTTTGAATGGACCGAATTGGGAGGAGTCGCCGCAGAATTCGGGAACGAAGGTTCCACGTTTCAAGTGATTTACGGCATCAGCACGTGTATGGACCAAGCACCCCAGATCCGTCACTGGAGTCGCGCGATTCTGAGGACAAGCTGGCTGACCTCACTGGGTGGTCCTAAGCGCGAGGCCCCACGGGGGGCGAACGAATCTCAATACATGAAAACTCAAAGGACATTCGTCTTATCTAGAAAACCAGGAGGATCGCTGCCTATTGTTTTAACTCGACTTGTTGGATGGCCGACCGGATGGCCAGAAGGCCAACACTTGAACATTGTTGAGGCATGTTGAGGACGGAGTCGGGCAGAGGGCATGGAGCTTTTAGTGTTCTCAATCATTGGGGCTTAGGGGCTTAGGGATGAGGTCTTCTTGTGAGTTCTCGTCTTAAAGCCTCAGGAGACTTAGAGACTTGTTGCGTTCACTCTTGGCAAATCTCGGAAGAGGAGTCAACGAGCATAAGCTTTTCAACATGTGCACAGTTTTTTGTAACACATCCCCAAATAGATAGAATCGTTTTCCAATCAACTTATTGGAGAGCTTCAACATTCTATCTATTTTGAGGTCACGACTTGACTCACGACAAACCCCTTCTCCTCTCCGCTTCTGGACCTTGCCGAAGGCCGCCTGGTCACGCCTCGCCGAAGTTCATCCCCAGGTGATGTACAGTGTACAGACGAACGAGAGTGTACAGCTCAATGTATGCGGCCACCCAGAAAAATAACAGAAGAGACCTGGGAGATTGGTTCAAATATACATGTGCAGAAACCCATCCGCGATGGCGGGCCATTCTCAAACTCTCAAATGGTGACTTTCGTCCATTAAGCGACCCGTTGCCCATTAAGTGGCCGTTGCCCTGGTCTGAAGAGAGTTGGGTGATCTCGCGGTTTTGGAGGCCGAAGGGGCCGGCCCGTGATTTTGTTGGAGAAGAATGCGGTGCTGGGGAAGAAGATCAGGACGGCCCATGTTTTGGTCGGCTCGACCTGCTGTTTCCGGCTCCATGGTCTGGTCAGTCAGCTTCGTCGACAGTGCGGAGCGATGTCTACGAGCAAGACCGGCATGAAATGCATGTCAATTACGAGAACGTGAGGTAAACGGTAAACCTGCACCATCATCTTGCATGAAATGCGTGTATATGCGTGTTAAGTCCATGTTGAGAACATAAACTCTGTGAACATGGATGTATTGCAAAGGTTCAGCGCACAAGTGCTTTGATGCACCTAACAGTTCACATGTGTAAGCTTCGCCTTACGTACCTTGGTTTGATCTTTCTCTTGATGTCCTTTCCCGCCCTACTGTACACTGTAGTGTAATCACGTCGCCTTGATTATTTTGTCCGTTTGATGGATATTCATTCGGCCAGTTCTAGCCTCAAACTCACCTGTCCACAAACATCTGCTTTCCGTCACTTCTCATCTTCCGGCACCGCGGCCAACGACCGGAGGATCAGTGGTGGGGGACGCTGCAATTTCACCAACATCTCGGAGCGGCGCGCGCGCGGTTCGGCGTGTTTTTGGGGCGTCACAATTGGCGTCGACGTTTCGCGGCTTGGGGAAGCGGTTTGGACTGGAGAACGTTCGAAGGAAGGGATCAGGGTCTCCTGATTTGAGTGTTCTCTGCAACTTTCAGCACTGGAAGAAAACCATGTTTTTTGATCAATGGTTCAACTTCTTATACAAAACAGGGAAGGACACAGCCATGGCATGCAATCTTGTTCTTCAGTATTTTCCAGGTTTCGGGTGGTGTCCCTTTGCTTCCTCTGAACATATTTTTTGTTCAACGAAAGGGGGAGTCTTCCTGCTTGTTGAAAACTGCTGTTGTCTGTTGTCGTTTGGTGTCCACTAGCCAGCGCAAGGGTCGCTTCCGGAGTTGTTTTCTCTGCTTTGGTCCTATCAGTTCTGTCTCTATTGGTCTCATCTCCAAGCTGAGCCTGCACCCGATGCTTTGAGAAGGTACCACTGGTCCGATGGGATCGAAGACCGGTTGGGTTCCAAAGAGAGAGAACCGCGACCGGTTGGAGGAACCGTGTGGTGGTTTTTGCATTGGTTGTGGATGCTGTTCTTCCGCCAACAGTTGTGTTGTTTGTGTATCTTCACTCTTGTCAATGGTTTGGCTATGGTGTGCCATAGCCGCACAGGACGAGCCGAGCCGCAGAACCACAGGACCACAGGACCACAGACCAAGCTGTTCGCTGCAAGTGTGACCCTGCCGGCCTTCAGGAGAACCTCCAGAAGGCCTACCACTCTTCACTTCCAGAGGCAGCGAACTGTTTTATGAAAGACATATTGGATACATATGGAAAGCAACATGGAGAACTCATGAACTTGTTGCCTGCTGCATGGAGCTTTGCACATATATAACACTTCGTAATACTGTATATACCTGTATATATAAATCTGAGATATAAAAGACAGAATATAATCGGCAGGTTTTCCACTTCGTCTCTGGTTGTCGTATACGTGGTCGGTAAGTATCTTCTTATGGCTTTCATCGGGTGACACGCTGCACGCTGCTGCCTAGGCCACGAGGACATGTTGGTGTGTCATGGTGTGTCTGGTAGGGGCATATGACGATCTCAACCCGTCCGGATGGTTGAGGGTGAGCTGGTCGAGGAAGTTCAGTCTGATGGCAGCTTCTTTCAAAAGGCCAGCAACTTAGCGTGCAAGGAAATGGTCCAGTCAGAGCAGACATGCCGTCAGGAAATGAAGATCCTATGGCCATGAAGGATTTACACCTTATGGGGCAGATCAGCCGATTCATTGGCTCGACATCCAAACATGTTAATATCGACATCTCAACCACAGGTCTTGACATGGTGTACCCTACTGGACGGAAGTGGATCTGGAACTGAATCTCTGGGGTTGAGATTAACATGCAGCTGGATGAGGAACCGGTTCTGCAGTTGGAATGAAGCTTGTGTAGCAACAGGAACTTCTTCTCTCGTCCCGGAAGAAAACTAGACCAGTGCAGATGCAGACGCGTATCAGGAATTTTGACATATGTGTGGAGCTGGCACTGCCTGTGAAGAAGAGTTGCGATGCGTATGCAGATGTTGTAGATGAGGGAACCGGTGTGCAGAAAAACCGAATGAGCCATTCCTGCCCACGGAGCCTGGAACTAGACTAGACATACGCCTACAGAGAAGCTTGCCGGGTGAGACACATGCAAAGTGGAACTAGAGTTCACCAGCTCTGGAGGGTTCTGGAGCTGGAAGCACCTTTGTGCAATAGAATCTAACGTCGAAGTTGCACTTCAACCCCCCTCAAACAGTGGAAGCCATTTTGACTCCTGTGGACGAGCCATCCAAGGCCTTCAAACGATATCCACCAGAAAAGTTCATTGCCTTGGTGGAGTCTCATGGCATCAAGTGCGCCGCCAGCTCCTCAGAAATTCCTGGCCTAATTGACAAGATGTCAGGTGGGGAGTGATTGAGTTGAGCGATTGTTTAGGGAGAATGTGGATGCATCCCGGTGCATGAACCATTGCAGGATAATTGCATTTTTTGCCTTTTTACCACATAGACACAATGGAAGGGAGTTTTTCTTTTTGCTTTGTTGCTGAAACAGCAGTTGATGTGCTAATTTCGATTTTGTGAAACAGTTGCCTTGGGAAGTGTACTTCGTGCCTTCCTTCAATTGGGAATTGCAGAAAAGAAGACCACCGCAGAGGTACCATGAGAAGAAGCTGGGGCAACTGTTCTGCAACAAATCAGCGCGCCAGATTGTGGACATGCTCCAACAGGACTGGTGACTGTGTCTGTGGATAATTTGTATTTTTAGAAAACCAAGCAAACAAGCCATTGATGGAAGAGTTATCTACATGACCTGCATGCTCCACTTTGGGATTCCTTGAAATCGCTGATCCACGGATTCAGCTCCATGGAACAGTCGATGGAAGTCCGTCCCGACGGGATGGCGAATGGGTGAAAGTTGAAGAGACTTCGGTTCAGGCAATACACTGACTGACCCTACGATGTATACATGCTTTAGATAGATATTTTTTGTCATTGTACTCTACAGATTCCATCCCAATCCATCCCATAAACAACATATATACACATACACATATACAAGACGTGCTGGCATCGCTACCACTCCCAATCGAAGATCTTTTGCTCGAATCGTTTGCTTTTAAGGAGTGTTTGGCTGCTTCAGTGGACGTCTACACTGAGGCGGAATGCTTGAGCGTCAGCGCCGCTAGCGCCGCTCGGCGCGTGACGGCGCGGCGCTCGGCGCGGCGCTCGGCGCTGTCCGTTCGTGGGGAGGGCCACAGTAGCTTAGTAGCTTCTTGTTACTAGTAGCAAAAGGGACCTTTAAGGAATGGCCTCCACCCTAATAGCGATGGCCTCCACCTAGTAGCTTCTAGCTTCTGGTAGCTTCTTGTTACTAGTAGCGATGGCCTCCAACCTACTTGTGATGGCCTCCACCTAATAGCGTCCGGGTGGTGGTTGAAGAGCCTGGGTGGCCCATCCCATATGGGAATGAAGGACCTTCCGGTAGGTCAACTGGTTGGTATCCTGGTGCCATGACCCACAGTCATATGTCCCCGGTATGGGGGTCCCTAAGCCTAAGGTCTCAAGCTCTCTTCACGCTAGGCAACTCAGCTGTTCCCGTGCCAGTAGCACCTCACTCGGCGCTTGAACGGGGCTGTGTGCTGTGCGCTGAGGCTTCAGGCAGCGAGGCCGGCCGCTTTCGGGTAGTGTATTCGAAGTAGGGCCCCTCAGAGGATGGAAGAAGGCATCTTCGGTTTTTTTCATGCTTGATGTGAATCCTTCACTTTGAGAGATGAGTGTGACAAAGTGTATTCTTTGCGTTGGCCCCTCCTGAGCTGCTTGAGAATGGACTTCGAGGTCGAGGTCGGAGGCTTCGTTGGCAGTCCCCCCTTGGGTCGGTCCTCGGTGGGGTCCGGACCCGGTGGGCGAAGCCCGGACCCGACGTCGGACCCGGTGGGGCGGAAACAAAGCCACCGGACGTCTGAAGAGAAAGGTTTGGGGAACGGTGAACGGCGTATCGGCCAGACGCAAGGTTCCCCGGCCAAACTCAGGCGCCAAACTCTCCTCAACGGTCGCCTGGGTCCCCTAAACCGTCAAGTTCCCACTGCAAGATCCTGAAACCACAGCAAGTGAGACATACAGTTGAGATGGCCGCCCTGAATGCAGCGCCCGTCCATCGGCTGAGGGAGGAGGAGACCAAAGAGCTGCACGCAGAGGTCCATCGTTGAAGTCGCTCGATCGGGGAGGGGAAGTATAGGGAAGGCATTCACTGAAGGACTGCAGATGGGTACAGAGGGAAGGAGCTTTTGAGGTTTTGCTTGACGTTGACCACCTACACCCTAGCAGCTATTGTTATTCATTCATAGTGAGTGTGGGACGGGGTCGGTTCCCCAGCGGGCGATTTCAAGACATGTTACCATTGGCTTGGGGCACTTTCAAACATTCATGAGCTGTGGTCAAGATTATATACCTGAAACATTTCATGGTAATTCATGTGCTTCTGTTTCTTCTGCAAATGCAGAGTATTTACTGAGCCAGCACGAGACCAGGCTCGAATGTATGTTTCTCAATCTTTCCTATTGGGTTTGAGCCACCGACTTGAAGCCGAACGGCTTGACATTTCCATGTTCCACCTTTGGATATGTTGCATGTTCAATACAGCATATGTCATTATAATTCAGCAGTGTGTATCATGAGTGCTCGTATGAACCCCCACAAACTGCAATATTCTGGACGGCGAAGCGCGCAGGGGCGGTACTTCTGCAAGGTTCTTGAAGTTGAGACCATCACGTGGGCTGTGAACATCTATCCCCCAACCCTATGGTGACCTTGCCAGCACCTGCCTAGGATCGTATACATCCTCCAGTAGAATTCCACCCCAGGTCCCGCCTCTTGACCGGTCCCGCCTCGGTTCAGCTCTCGTTTTCCGCCCTTTCTCCACCAACAGGTGCCGTTGTGTGGACTGGAGTGTCTCTTGCGTCTCGCGTGAGGCGGTGGTGGTCGCGTGCGGCGGCTTGAGTTATGCCAAGACTTGCCTGTTGCCTCAGAGGTCTGTGAGGTGGATGTGCCGAATGTGTTTGGATGGCAATGGAGTGGTTTGGATCTGTCAGGACTGGGAGGACTGGGGATGAGACATCTGATCTTCCTTCCTGGTGGACCCTTTTGGATTGGAACAGGTCCACTTCCATCGCCGACCCTATCCAATTGCTCCGACCCAATCCACCAACGAAACGTTTTGGTGACTGATGGCTTCAGGATGCAGCAAAGATGTGTCAAGATGACTGTGTCCTCTTGTGATACTTCGTGGGTTAGATGTGCGACGGCGCCAACCCTGACAACTGCAAAGGGTTTTGACGTTCGTCAAGACCCTCGAGGGCCAAGATTTGGCGGCAGTTGATGCACCGCTGGCCGGGTGCAGGCGCTTGGGTGTAACATCCTTGGGGCCAACGCATCGCCGGTTGCGGTGTATGACAGCAAGGCCAATGGGCTATTGCGCTTGCTGGGGATGTGGCGGTCGCCCCGTGTGGGGGAGAAGTGTGTCACGGCTCCGGGCAATACGGCCCCGTCCGCTCTAGGTTGTCCATTCAGGACTTTCCTAGAACAACCCTGAAGAGGGGAGGCCACAAAAGTTCGTTGCTGCTGTGTCCTGTCTCTTCGGCTTCTAGATTCATTGCTGCCTGGCGAAGTGTCCGTTGCCGACGAACTTCGATCCGCCAAAATTCGAGAAGGAAGGCATGCTTATCGCCTGTGTGCCTGAACTTGGGATGCCTTGTTTTGATCCATCTGTGAGGTCCGAGGTTGGTTTTGATCTTCCTCTGTGAGGATCTCTGTAGTCCTCGGGTTTTGGAGCTGAGGTTCTCACCTGGGCGTTTTTGTTCCTTCCATGGCCGGACCACGTTCTTTCCACCTCGGGGCCGATCCGAGGTGGAGCGACGGATCTCGCACAGCGCCTTGCACGGTCCTTTGATCTCAAGGTGCCAGGAATCGAGCCGATTCGACCTTCGTCGCGGCTTTGGCGTTTGCCGGGTTTGGCGTGACAGTGATAGGGGGATGACAGAGGGGTTCGCGGAATTTGGGATGTGTTCTTTAATAGACAGATATAGATGACCGACTTGCTCGGAGGGGCGGTGCCTTCCTTCCGGTGGAAGGTTCCGGTTTCAGAACCCGCAGGTGTCCCGGTTCCGCTTCGCAGGTTCCGCTCTTACTGCGGACGGTGTGGGTGAAGGGAGGACAGGTCCATCGAACCGTGGCAGTTCTTCTCATCTGCTCTGCACAGGTGGCGGTCAAACCCAGCCCTGGTCACTCACCAGGGGGCCATGGGTCACCGACCTTCGTCGAGTCTGCTCAGGTCGTGACAAAACCGTCCCGGGGACACCGCTCCGGGTGCCATGGGACCAGCCAGGTGAGTGGAGTCCGACCTGGGCTCGTGCCCTTGCGCCTGGACCCCAACGCCTGGACCAGGCCCGGTGGATCCAACCGGGGGGATGGGCTGGGCGAAACGAGAAGAAACGCCCAGCGACACTGCAAGTGGATGTAAAAGGGTAATAAGGATGTAAAAGGGGAAAAGCAGTGGACAAGCAGGGTCTTCCTGTGGTTCTTTATTTTTTCATCCTTGGGAAGATCTTCATCGGGAATATTTTGAAGAGGGGGTCCTTCCGAGGTCTTCACTTTTTGGGGATTAGTGTACTCCACTAGTGCAGATAACAACACACTCTTTTATCTTTTCATGCCCAAAAAACAGCAGGTTTTGATGAAGTTGAGAGCATCTCCTCTACCCATTCGACCACTCATCAAACAGTGTAACGACCTACTCAAACATGCTGTGCCCCACCTCACAATACACAAAAAGGTCACTGACCTACCAGACACACACGGCGCCACCCAAGTAGAAACATCAGGAGCATCAAACATCAGGAGGCCTCAAATTCACCCAAACATGTCTGGTCACAAACATCTCCAAACATACTCCCCTGCAGAGGACGGAACCCCTGCAACCACTGGGTTGTAGAGGAAACTCTTCTTCTACCGGTGAATTCTCAGGTTTCATGGGATCGTTTGCGGGAGAGTATCCAAACATCACAACCTTTTCAAGACTCATAGGCTTTGCAATCCCCCATAGGCTTCGCAAGGTGGCGACGGAACACGAAAAACCACGTGGTTCACCACGTCCTTCTCCAAGAGTAAAACAGCGTTTCTTTTTTAATCACCGGCGTGGCCTGCGAGGAGCCTCACCGGCGTGTCTCTCCAGGCTCTGGGGCTCCAGCTTGGACTAGTGACAGATGTTCAGATGTTCTTGTAACATACTAACATACTGAAACCAGGTGACAGGCAAGGTTAGTTTGGCAGAGGGATTCCAGTTACTCCTCACATCTTTATTTTTTTTAATCGTGCCCACCTCGTGCCTGGTTTCGAGTAACAGGCGCTCCTCGCTGCGAGGTTGAAGCTTGGGACATTTGACTACTGAGAATTATTCTGTTCAGGAAACGCAATGGTAACAGGAACCAGATATTTTTCTAAAAGAATCGTGACTCGTTGCCTTGCAGGTGTGTTTGGTTCAGAAGAATGTGTCCTTCATGCATTGGAAGATTGGTCATGAGTCATGAGTCATTCCTGTGTCCAAACATAATTCTGCAGTTCTTTTTTTACTTCCAGCGAAGCTCGATGGCTTGTGAAGCTGACAAGATCAGTGACGCCATGGCAATGCGTGTGACGGCGGTGTTTCTAAGTGGCAAGCTGTGCGTTCTGGACGTGATGCCGGACATCACCATTGGGGATTTGAAAGAAGAACTGAAGGCTCGAGCTGCACCCCTCGTCTGGGCGAGGTGTTCCATTGGATCCACTTCGAACCCCACTTGATCGCGCAATGGGGAGCGATGAGTCATGAGTAAGATGTCACTCCCATGCGGAGATGGACAGGAAAGGTTGAGAACCACAGCGACTAACAAAGGGACTACAGCAACCATAGCGACTAGCTGACTAGCCAGAGAGACGCTTGTATTCCACCAATGGACCTCATCGGTGTCGTCTTTTGGGCTGGCTGAATCGGCGGAAACATCTTTTTCCGGCCCCCATGGGTGGCTGCAGATGGGGTTCCCAGCAGATACGTCCCGGAGTTGCGGAAAAACCACCAAGAAAACATAAGAAAACACTAATTACATTGCAATTATGTGCGATTTTTTTGAAATTTGATTCCAGAAGCAGACCTTTGCCATTGGTTGTTCTGCGGGGAACCCGCAGAACTAGGTTGCCCCGAGGTCAAAGCTGAAACCACTTGCATCCGATGGCAGGTATGGCATCCGATTGAAAATGACGTCATCCGGAAACTGAGCACTGTGCAGGTGGTGCTTGAAGGAAAGAAGCTTGGACGTGGAAACATGGGAGGAGATGAAATGTTCAAAAAGATCAAAGCTAAGGTTGAGGGTTGATGAATCGAATTTTCTCAACCAGGTCAGGATGCTTCTACTTCTCCATATGCCGGCTTTACAACCAATATGACCAATATGTGTATTCGATTTGTTTTGGGGTGGCAGGATGGCTGCCCCTGCCAAACCCGATCAGCATTCCGCACTAGCAGATCGGGCAGCGGCATTGGCTGATGTTTAACAGAATGATTATCATTAAACACATTTTTTGCTTTGCTATTTATACTGGATCGGTCGATCCTTGGTGTGAGCACTAATGAACCAACAAACAACAACTCTGCTTAGTTGTCTTCAGCCCTCGGCTAGCAGATGATCTTCCAACCAAGTTGCTGATGTTCATGATTTGCTCCATGGGTTTACTTTGTGATGAACCTATTCCAACCAAGTCCAGTGAGACATCCGGCGCCGAGGACATTGGATGACAATTATGACACGATCGTTGAAGCCGGAGTTTCCCCAACTGCAGTCATGGAGGCAGGAGAAACAGTAGAAACTCCCCGGAGCCTGAAGCTGCACCTTTGATTGAAGGGTGTTGACGGAACAGGTGACTTCAGATCAGATCAACTCTGACCATGGTCTCGGGGTCCTCACGAGAGATCTCTGCCCAAGAGGGGTCTTGTGTTTCAGTGGAAGAACTTGGAAAACCACTTCGGCGGGTTGGATGTTTTCCAAATCCGGAAGCAGGCCACTGCCAACATCCGTCGCGCTGGCGACTGCCCCGACGTCAGTCAGGTCTTTTTCACGCTCGACCCACCGGTGGAGTGCAGCAGCCGAATGGACTTCCAGGGCCTCGGTAGTCAGTTGCTGGATGTATGCATTCCGGAGACTGTAGCTGGTTTAGCACTCAAGACAGCTGCTTTCTTTCTTTTCGGTTGGTTTGCTCAGTGAACGCCGTCTAGCCGCTACTGTAGCCAGGAGAGAACCATCCCAAATTATCTGCCGGTTGCTGGAACCTCAACGCCAGGTAAGTGCCATTGAAGACTTTGCCTTTGAAGGCTGCAACTTTTTGCTGCGAGTGAGCATCCCTGACTCAGTGACTTTAATCGGACGAAGGGCCTTTGAGAATTGCACTTCTCTGACAAGCTTGACGATCCCAAACTCTGTGATCAAGATTGGACAATATGCCTTCTCAGGCTGCGCATCGTTGACCAGCTTGACGATACCCAGCTCTGTCACTGAGATTGAAGACTGTGCCTTTCTAGGCTGCACGTCTTTGACGAGCCTCGTGATCCCCGACTCTGTGACGGGGATCGGAAAATATGCCTTTTCTGGCTGCAAATCTTTGACAAGCTTGGTCGTGCCGGACTCTGTGGTCATTGGCAAATTGGCCTTTTTGGGATGCACGTCTCTGCCGTCTCTGACGTCGCTAGGGAATCACATTCCAACTTCTTTGAGCCACCCTGCCACATGCGCAGGCCGCAGCAATATGTGGCCAAAGAAGAAGTTGCGATTAGACTCAACAGCTGTTGTCTCAAAAGAGTGGCTCTTCTTGGCCGCCAAGGGGGATTGGTATGCAGTTGTTGGGTCCGAAAGACTGGAAGACAGGGTCGTTGTCCACGTGCGCCGTCCATCTCGTCAAGAGGAGGTCTGCATCTCGTCAAGAAGCTTTCTTCTTTTGAACTCTGGATTTTTGTGCAGTCCTTGAAACTCAAGCAAAAGTGTTTGTGAGGTGAAAAGCCAAGGGTTGTTGATTCGAAGTCAATGATTTGACAGCTTTTTTCTTGGATTCCCAGCCACCGCGGAATGAGATTCTCACTACATCTGTGGTCACCTCAGCTTCCCCAGCGGCAAAAACATCAACTTTGTTTTCACGGTGACACACGCAAGCTGATTTGGATGCCGGAGGCTTTTTTTGACCTGAGGCAGCCCCTCAAAGGAGACTCAAGGACCATCAAAGACCTGCTGTCATTTTTGCAGATATTTCTTTCGAAGAACGGGGGGGTTGGCCAAATGGCCTGTAACCAACAAAGTCAAAACTTGGTACCATTCGTCTGATTGGTAAAACGCTCTGTAACTTTCGATGGTTCGATTGGCCTCTACCTGAGTCTACCCTACTCGAAAGTCTACCAAAAATATCACATCAGCTGTTTTCACACCTTTTTGCTTTGGAGATCTTTGGAGACGGAAGGGTCCCAGGCAGCAGAACAACCTGTCAGAACCTCCACCGTCCCAGAACACCGGGGCCGCTGGGAGGATTCCGATTCCACACCGAGTCTGTGAGGGTCTTCAAGCTTCCATCGGAGAAGCTTGTCCGAGCTGAGCACCGGAAAGGAGGTGTTTCTTTGCTTTCTTGAGCCATCCCTTTAGTAAAGAAAGTTATATAATATATGTTAGTGTAACGTATCTGTATTTTTCATATGTGTACGTATATCTATAGAATAACCAATATAGCGTTCTTTTTGGTGCGAACCATTTGACTACCGCACGTTGTTCCCTGTTGCAGGTTGCTGCGTCCATTGGGAACATGAGCTTTGCATTGGCCTGAGACAACGAATGGGCAGTCGCAGCCATGTCTTTACCAGTGATTCATTCGGACGGTCTGCAACATCTGTTGACATCTATATAACTATGGCACATATGGTGATTTGATGTGATTTGAACAGTATCAAACATCGACCCAAACCTGACCAACTGAGATCTAGCCTTGCTTTTCATGTGGAGCGAACTGCTAAGGAGGAGCAGATCCTATTTACACACCAAGGCATCAGCGGCCCTGCAGCCTTGCCAGACATGTTTTTCAGATCGGATGTCCCGGATAGTCCGTCCGTGTCCATTTTTCGTTCGAGTCCTGAAGAGTTTGAATGCAGCCGTTGAGTCGCCGAATTTGCCAGAAGTATCGCAATAGATGTTCAGATTTATGTATATATATATATATATATGTTACATGTTTACGTCAATTTGCCACCAACCAAGGGGTCTTGGAAATCGAGGCAGGCAACACTTATAGAAATGAACGGCACACATATGAACGGCACGCGCACACACACTTATAGAAATGCGTACTGATGTGAATGCGGTTTGCCACACGTCGGCCTAAGTGGAAAACCTAAGATTCCAGGTAAACGCATCACCAAAAAACTGTCCTCAAAACGATGAGAAACCTGCAAGCCTCCAAGCTCAAAAGCTCAAATTCCGTGACTGCCGATGGTGAACAGATGCAATGGCTGGTCAGCTTGTTCTAGTTACAACGGGACCAATTAGGAAGTTCACAAGTACGACGCAGGTACAGGAAGGTGATCAGCCTTCCCTTCCCATCCATGACCGTAGCTTCGTTGCACAGGGTGGGTCATGGATGCCGTGTGCCCCTGCTGAAAAAGAAAAAGAAGCAGTCCAAAAGGAACCTTGTGACCCCAAAGGTTACACACACACACACACACACACACACACACGCGCCTCCCCGAGAGAAGGCGTGCCTTTTCAATTGAGCTCCGGAGGAGGGTAAGGTTGGGTGAAAACTTAAGCCAAGAGAAGCGGTGAGAGAGAGAGAGAGAGAGAAGAGAGAGAAGAGAGAGAAGAGAGAGAAGAGAGAGAAGAGAGAGACAGAGGTGCTCCCAGCTACGACACAAGCGTCCAAGGACACACCAGACAGGAAAAAAGGGGCTCCCAGCTATGACGCAAGCATCCAGGGACACCCAAGAGAGAAAAGAGAGAGAGAGAGGAATCATCACTCTAAGGTCCCGGCAGGTTCCAATGAACCTCAAAATGGCTTTGGTCGCTCTGACCACGTTGAGGTGTTAAGCCAGCTTAGACCGCTGCGGTCACGTAACGGCATAAGCCAGCTTGGAATTCAATAATCCAGCAAGTCTTGGCAAATAACTTTGGCCTAAGCCTACTTTGTCCGCTGCGGACTGCTTTGTATACGGGCAGGGGGTTCGACAAACCCCCATTCGACGGGCCCACAGGGGGCCACTCTGCGGGGTCACCCTGGGCTGGCATGAAGCCAGACACACTTATAGAAATGCGTACTGATGTGAATGTGGTTCGCCACACGCCGGCCTAAGTGAAAAACCTAAGATTCCAGGTAAGCGCATCACCAATCCTTTCCTCAAAGCGATGAGAAACCTGCAAGCCTCCAAGCTCAAAAGCTCAAATTGCGTGACTGCTGATGGTGAACAGGTGCAATGGCTGGCCAGCTTGTTCTAGTTACAACGGGACCAATTAGGAAGTTCACAAGTACGACGCAGGTACAGGAAGGTGATCAGCCTTCCCTCCCCATCCACGACCGTAGCTTCGTTGCACAGGGTGGGTCATGGATGCCGTGTGCCCCTGCTGAAGAAGAATTAGAAACAACCCAAAGCGGAGCTTTCGTTGACTGATGTGGTCACAAGTCTCCGTCGACATCCTTCTGTGAACAGACACCCCAAGTTTCTTCCACCAAGTGGGGACATTCTTCCACCAAGTTCATCTCGCCACACAATATGGAGCTCCTGCAAAGTTTCTTGGACATTGCAAGACAAAGAGAGCTGCGACTGACGCTCCCGCTCAGTTGGCTGTTGGCTGCATTCTAGTCGCCCGCAAACTGTTGATGTTGTCCACATGCCCAATTCTGGATGTTTGATTCCTACTTGCAATGCCTCAGCCTTTGGCTGTGTACCAAAGAAACCTTGCAAAATGGCAGGTGCTGCAGGCATCCTCCTATTGGTATGATCATGATCATCCAAAAGCTTTGCGTTTGGACCTATTGCCTTACATGAACGAGGCTGGCTATGGGGGAGAGAAGTACAACCCGGTTGAGACTTGAAATAAGCAATGCCCGTGGGTCGAGCTGAAGAACTTCCACTAGCTTGGAGGCTCCCAGCCAACTCGTGCTGATAGTCTCCGACTCATGAAGGTAAGTGGGACATGTGGGACAGCTCAGGCACAAATTGACCAACAGTGTTTCCACTTCGAAAGCACTAACAGGAAGGCACAAGATACCTGGCCTCCTGAGGAAGACGTGCTGCACTGGCTCCAGCGACGGGCTGAAAGCTGCCGAAATCGCCAAAGTCAACGTCGGATGTGGGATGCTCAGGTGGGGCACGGAGAGGCAGATGGCAAAACCGGGAGCTTGCGATAGCATTAGACTCTTAGACGCTTTGGAGATAAAGGACTTCATAATTTACAAGATGGGCTCAAGCGGCTCGAGCCACCTTTTTCCATCAACAAGTCCGTACATTCCGACAAGAACATTCAGTCCAACGTTGACTCTCCTCTGGTCTGTGAGTTTTCACCAGCCCCTAGGTCAAAATCCACTATACCAGGAAAACACAGGTCTTGGTCTATTTTCCCTCTCAAATCAGGGCCCATACGACCAGGCACCATCAGGCACCTAGGTTTGAATAATATCCACGGCGATAGATTCAGCCCACCAGTAACCCACCCACCATAGAGCTACCTTCCTCCAAAAAACAAAGAATAGACACTGACACTGAAGATAAGGATGTCCAAATTTCGTTGACTTCCCAGTGGACCCGCTTTCCCAAACGTTCTTCGGATGGTGGAACAACCCCTCTGATCGCGGCAGCAGGGCTCCGTGTGAACGGGCGAGGAATCGATAGACAGGTGAATCGTCAAACAGGCTTTGGGCACGTGAAATCATGTGAACCCCCATGTCTCCAAAGGCGCATTCCAAAGCCTCAGGACCCACAGGGCCCAGCCAAGGAAAATGTGGGAGCAGTCCAAACGAAGCTTTGGAGCAGCTCCTTCACTAAGGGAGTGTTGGATGGAACCATTTTCAGCGCCAAGGATGTTCGCCTTGCCCACCCAGGCCTGCGAGCGAGGCAAGGATGAGCCCCGAACGTGGTGGGGGGGGGTGTTTGTTCCTTGGAAAGGCACGGTGGATGTGACTTGGTCTAGGGAGTTTGTGTGAGGGGAGAGGACGTCCATGGCCTTTGTTGCCTTTTCAAACTTCCGTTGGTAGTTGGTCGTGTCTTGTCGAGCAGGGTGGGTGCAGACGAGCGTTGCGTCAAGCCGGATGTGCCAGGTGACCTGGTCCAGCACGAGCGTTGCGTCAAAAGCCCTCCAGCATGGAGCGTAGACTGATGAATATGCAAACCTCCAAGGGGACGTCCGATTTCCGATAGCGACGTGCAGTGATTTGCGATTAGACTCGGAGTTCTAAAACTTTCAAAACCATCACTACTTTGGGGCGTGCAAGCGCATCCAAGCCAAACAATCCCTAATTATAACCTACTATAGACTATAACACCAGTAACTATTAACAGAGAAAGCGGGTGGTCCGTGACAGGTCAATCTCCTTTCACAACTCGGTGCGCCTCTCGATCCATCTCCAACCCACCCCCCATCTCAGCCCATCTCTCTTTCTCCTCGCGAGCGCACCATTTCGGTTGAAGAACCCAACTGTTCAGGTCACTGGCTACCTCGCCACCCGGGCTTAAACGCCAGGAACTGGCTCGCAAGCTTCCCCGGCGCTTTGCCGATGGCTTCTGGATCCACGAGGCGCTAGGATGGCTCGGGCGGCAAAACATGCCCCATGGTCCCAACACGGGGAGCGGCAGTCCTTGTCCAACGAAAAGGCCGTGTTTCGTCAACTTGTCACCTGGATGGAATGGAAAAGTCGTGGGCCGTCGGAAGGAATCCAGTGCCGAGGCGACATGGATGGACACCCGATTCCTTATAGATAGAGTCATACAGAAGTCTCCAACATAATGGCCACTTTGGTGGTTCCACCGGCGATAACTGCAACTTTGGAGCTTGAAGACCTGCCCGGCTTCGGCCTCCCATGCAGGTCTCCCAACGGCTCCATGTCTCTCCAAGCGCTGGCCTGGAGGAGCCAAACCACTCCGGCTCGGGGGTTGGAACAGTGGAAAGATCAAGAGAAAAGTACATACAAATTTAATTTGATAGATTTTAACATGTGTACATAATATAGTGACATATATATACACATGTATGGTGGTACATTATATTCTTTGTAATGTTACTTTTTTGACATGGAGTAGGTTGAACATTGAACATCACCCTGGTCCAGCGGATCGGATAGCGATTGGTCTCAGCTGGTCCGGTCCTCATCTCACCTCTCCGAAAGAGGTCCGCGAACCGCTGTGCGGCAGTTGAGGCTCCCTGATGGCTGGAAGGAGTGCTCGAAGCACCTGGTTTTCCCCTTAAAGAAGCCCATGGAATGGACTCAGCGGACCGACTTTGCCTCGGTCTCGAGGCATGGACTCAGCGGAGACTGGAGGGGGTCAGCCCTGACCACCTCCCGACTCCGGAACATGTTCGCCTGAGGTTCCCCCCATGGGCGAACAGGTCTCTAGACTTCGGGGGTGAACAGACCAAGGGTTTATCCGAGTCTGGGACCGAGTGGGGTGTTGAGGATCCAACATAGAAAGTCTTACGACTCTTAAAACTCCTCCTTTCCAAGAATACGGCTCTCTGAAGTCTGAACCATTCTGAACCAATGTATTCTTATTTTTTTTTCCATGTTTTTTTTCCACCAAACCAGCTTTGCATCCTCACTCACTTAATCTTGAGGTTCTTTCCACCCGTCATGTCGCCTTAAAGCAAAGATATGTGGCTTTGCTTGCTTCGGCTCGAGAACTTCTCGATGAACCACCGACGAAACCACAGCAAAAAAGACACAGCTCCGATGAACCACGCGAAGGGCGAAGCTCATCGCCGTCTTCGACGACACCAAAACGATCTGTATGTACGAACTTCGTTTTCACCTCAATCATGTCAACCTGAGATCATCAGAACTTGCAGCCTCACCAGATAGCCTCACCAGATCCTCCGACCTACAGAGATGTGCTGCACTGCGCGACATTTGTAGCAGCCATCGCTTGGTTGGTTGCTTTCGATGTATTCAAAGCTGCTGAAGAAATGGAGAGCCAAAGAAGCGGAAGAGGCGACCTTGCAGAGACCAGTCGAGACCCTGAAGAGGACGCTGTGCGACCAGGGCGACCGTATTTTTTCCGCACTCGAGCATGAGTACGGCTGAGTACGGTGTGTTTCTGTTGGAACTTGTCCCGTGGTGGTCATGCTGCTGCTGCTGCTGCTGCTGCTGGTGTTTTGCCGCTGCTGCTACTGCTGACATCATTTGCACTTGTGACCTTCTGGTTTTTGCAGAACACATGCCTCAAAAAAGCCCAAGACGCTTATCCAATCCAATCAGCCCAAGATGTGCCAGGAAGAAAGCTGATTGGATTTTGCCGGCCGGTCATGGCTTGGACCCGGACTATGAGGTCTTGTTGCGGGTGAGGCAAAGGATCAATGCAGCGAAGAATTTGAAGGACTACTCCTGGCAACAGCTTCTGGACGCGTTTTGGTGGGGAGACACCGTTTGGGGTGTGGGGTGCGGAGTTTTCTTTCTTTGTTGGCACGCGGTTTACAGGGAACTGAGAGCATGAATGAGGACGCACTATTTTTTCAGAAGGATGAGGACCCATTGATTGGGGAGGAATCGTCATGGTTGAGACACACTCTTCTTATCCTTTTCTAAGTGTCGGGTATCGTACCCGAAACTTAGAAGATGAATCTGTCACTATCGACCAGCAGTGCAGAAATTCCTGTCAAGAGTCAAGAGCTTATCAGGAAGACACCCTGTTGGGCACGAAGGCTTTGACGACATCAATAGTATATTGTATAAATTATACTGTAGATGTATTGCTCACGAACGAAGGTGACCGGGCCTTCTTTTTCCATTGTGGCTTACTATTGTCGTTTAAGATGAGTTTGGATCCCAACTTGATTGATTTGACTCAAAAAAAGGCATAGATTCTCTTGAGTGCCGCTTGTGTGATTCGCTTGTGTGATTCGCTTGTGTGATTCGCTTGTGTG